GGAGCCGCCACCCCTCCCCGGGCATGTTATATGTGCGATCGCCGAGGGCATCTAGTGAGGGACTGTCCTCAGGTCGCCCGAGCTAGACAAGAGCTAAGGTCAAACACTAAGGCCCCCTAGAGAGGGGACCACCGGGGGGTGAAATCGACGTAGCCCCGACACAAACAAGCTGTGAGAATAATGGCGAGCGAGTGATCTCCACACAGGTTCCAGCAACAACGCCCACAGAAACGGTGACTCCTGGCGACTGGCTGCGGGAGCTGGTGGCGGGGATCACGGGGGCCACGTCGCTGGTGGAAGGGGAGGTAAACGGAGTGCGTACCCGAATCCTGCTGGACACGGGGGCGGTGGCCTCGCTCGTGAGCGCAGCGCACTGCAGCGCGATCGGGGTCGACGTGCGTCACCTGCAGGCCCGGACCGCGCGCTGCACACGGCGAGCGGAGCCGGAATGGGGCTGCTGGGGAGAGCCACCCTAGAGGTCCGCATAGGCAGCCAGGTGTGCACGCAGGAGTTCTACGTGTCGAGTGCGTTGTGTCACGAGTGTATCGCAGGCACCGACCTCCTAGAACGGTTGGGACTCAACGTGCAACCCCGCCAGCGATGCGCCACCATGGAGAGCAACGGCGAGCGGATACCGTTCCTGGGACGAGAACCAACGCGCCGCCGCTTTGCACCTGTGGCCGCTATCCTGGCGACGGCAGTCACCATCGGCCCGCTCACCGAGATGCTGGTGCCGGTGGCAACATCCCCCACCGACCCCGCGCTCCGACCATCAGGGGAGGTAATGCTAACTCCTCACCCGGAGTTGGCAAAACGGTATGGGGTTGTGGGATCCGCCACGTTGGTAAACGCAGATGGGGACCGATTGTTTATGCGGATGTTTAACCCCCACAATACCCCAGCGATACTGCGACGGCGCACCCCGATAGCCACAGTACACCCCCTGCACGCACGCCACTCTAACGACTCGGTGTTCGCACTCTGGGCTGAGGACCCCGGTCGTCCTGAGGGTGAGCAGGACCTGGCCTGGCGAGTCGGCCCGACTCCCCGAGCCGAGGTCGTTCCCCTGCTCGACGCGTTACATGTACCATGGGCGGATTTACCTAAGGGAGAGGCCGATCGGCTGCGCGAGTTACTGCGGGAGTATGCCGACGTATTCAGTGAACACGACTCGGACGTGGGTCGGACCGATCTTGTTAAGCACCAAATTGACACCGGTGCAGCCCGACCCATCAAACTCCCTGCGTACCGAGTGGGCGCACCCGAACGCGCCCAAATCAAAGAGGCAGTTGGGGACATGCTTCGCGATAACATAATTCAGCCCTCGGCGAGCCCCTGGTCAGCCCCGGTGGTACTAGTAACGAAAAAGGATGGGTCAACCCGGTTCTGCGTCGATTACCGTAAACTAAATGCAGTCACGCTCGGCGATGCCTTCCCCATACCCCGCATCGACGACACCTTCGACAGTCTCGCCGGAGCGCGATATTTTTCCACCCTCGATCTGGCGTCCGGTTACTGGCAGGTGGAGATGACGGAGGAGGATCGGCCAAAAACAGCATTCACCACCCCGATGGGCCTGTTTGAGTTTCGAGTGTTGCCGTTCGGACTCACTAACGCGCCCGCGACGTTCCAGCGGTTGATGGAGTTGGTGATGCGGGGCTTGCAGTGGGAACAGTGCCTGATTTACTTGGACGATGTGATAGTGTTCAGTAGATCTTTGTCTGAGCATTGGTCCAGGCTTCGAGAGGTGTTCCAGCGACTGCGAGCGGCTCATCTCAAGCTCAAGCCACGTAAGTGTTACATCGCACAACGCGAGGTGGGGTACCTCGGGCATCGCGTCAGCGAGGCAGGCGTGCGCACCGATCCGGAGAAGGTACGCGCCGTAGTGGAGTGGCCACGGCCAAGGAATCTGACGGAGATCAGATCATTTTTGGGGCTCGCCACCTATTATCGTCGATTTGTAAAGGGATTCAGCGAGATTGCACGCCCCCTCACCCAACTCACCTCCCCTAAGCACCCCTATCAGTGGACGGGGGCCTGCCAGACGGCCTTCACCACTCTCAAAGACCACCTCACCCACGCCCCCACCCTCGCTTTCCCCGATTTTACCACCGATTTTATTTTGGACACCGACGCCTGCAGCAGCGGGCTGGGCGCGGTGTTGTCACAGGTACAGGATGGGACGGAACGAGTCATCGCGTACGCCAGCCGGACCTTGAGTGGGGCCGAGCTGAACTATTGCGTGACCCGCCAAGAGTTGTACGCCGTGATTTTCGCATGCAAACAGTTCCGGCCGTATTTGTACGGCAGGAGATGTCGCGTACGCACTGACCATTATGCTCTGCAGTTTCTTCTTACATTCAAGGAGCCGCGGGGGCAGATGGCCCGGTGGTTGGCGCAGTTGCAGGAGTACAACCTGCAAATCGAGTATCGGGCTGGCCGGACGCATGCAAACGCGGACGCCTTGTCGAGGCGACCCACGGTGTACGCCGAGACGAGGGCGGAGGAGGCCTGCCCGTGTTTCACGGGGGGACGCTGCCGGCAGGCAACGGACCCCCGAGAGGCCGCGGCCACTGACCCCCCCCAGCGAGAGAGAGTGCAGTGTGCGCCACGGAAACCCTCACAGGTGGCACTGAGGATCCCGTCGACCGCCCGGCAAGCGCGGGACCCGCGGCTCGGGACCCGATTGGACGGATCCAGGAGGACGTCGGCTGCGCCTTCCCGGGCCTAAACGACGAGCAGCTGAGACAGACCCAGCAGCGAGATCCGGATCTGGCGGCAGTGGAGGCGGCACTGCGGGAGGAAAAGAGCGCCCTACCAGGACCCTGGAGCGGTTTGTATGCCCGGTTGTGTGTGCGGAACGGAGTGGTACGGGAGTTAACCGAGGCCGGCCAGCCGGGGTGCATCTGTGTTCCTGCCCAGGTGCGACCCCAGCTGCTACGGCTGGTGCATGACCACCCACTCGGGGGCCACGATGGGGAACGACGTACTCGAGAGACCCTGCGTCGCCAGTATCTCTGGCCCAAATTGGCACAAGACGTGGCGGCCTGGGTACAGGGCTGCCGCGCCTGTCAGCAGTGCGGGCCGAAACCGGCACGATACCAGGTACCCCTAAGGCCGTTCCGCGTCAGCCGCACGAATCAGCTGGTCGGGATCGACCTACAGGGGCCATTCCCGCGATCCCATCGAGGCAACCGATATATCCTAGTCGCAGTAGAGTATTTCACCCGCTACCCCGTGGCAGTGGCCATCCCTGATAAAACGGCCTTGGTGGTGGCCCGGGCATTTGTGGAACACTACGTACTTAAGCACGGGATCCCAGAACGAGTCCTCACCGACCAGGGTAGCGAGTTCGAGGCCGAGTTGTTCCAGGCACTGTGCCGAGAGTTCGGAATCCAGAAGGACCGAACCACAGCGTACCACCCCCAGGCGAACGGGATGGTGGAGCGCATGAATCAGACCTTATCGGGGAAACTCAAACGTATGGCGGCCGCAAATCAACGGGATTGGGATGAACACCTCCCCTACGCCCTTTTCGCCTACGCCACCACCGTACACACGTCGACGGGACAAACCCCGTTTTTAATGATGTTCGGCCGTGAGTCTCGTTTACCCGCAGATCTGCTATTCGGCGTCCCTTCCCCCAGCCGGAGGAGGGAAGCCGCCCCGTGGAACACCTGTTGGAGACCCTACGAGAAGCCCGAGGCCGAGCATACCCGCAAGGGGAAGCCGCGCATCGGCGGCAGGAACAGGGCACCCGACCCCGCATGGAACCCCCCTTATTCCTGACAGGTGCTAAGGTGTGGCTACACACCCCTCGCGTCGGGGCCGGGCAGGTGGGGAAACTGACGACCTACTGGCGGGGACCCTGGACCGTGGTGCGACAGATCTCCCCCTGGACGGTACTAATTGATGGCGGGGAGAGGGGTCGAGAGACGGTGGTCAATGTCCGCCGCTTAAAACCGTGGAAAGCGGCCCCGGCGAGAGAGAACCCCGTCACCCGAAGGCCCCAAATCCCGGAGTACCCGCATCCCCCGTGCCCGGGGGCCTCGCGCAGTATATGGGCCCCACGGAGCCCAGGGCTCCGAGGGGCCCCGGGCGGGGCCGGGGGCGACGAGGACGGCGACCCTTAAACCCCACCGCTCTGAGTTTGTTCCCCAGCCCGCAGGTGCCAGAGGCCGAGGGGAGCCGTTGGAATGGAGGAGGAGACCACCGCCGGAGCCCCAGGAGACGGAGCCGCCACCCCCGAGGCCAGCCACAAGGGCCGGGCGAATCCCGCGGACCCCGCGGCGATACCTCGTGGGGGCAACCCAGGCGAGGTGCTCAAGTCAACCCGGGACGGGGACTGGCACCCCGGGGGGCTATGTGGTGCCACAGCGACGGGGCCGCTCTGCCGAGCCAGGGAGCCGCCCGGCTTCCCCCACCGCACTGCCCCCATCACCCGCCCCACATAAGCACACACCCGCACGCATCCCCCCCCCCCCCATAGAGCTGGAAGGGAAGGTTACCTGATCGACCGGTTTTTATCCGAGAGACCCTTATCGGGATTAATTCTCACGGTTTCCGGCGATCAGGGAATTGGATGACCTCCCCCGTGCTACGTGGTACCGCGGCGCTGCTGCCGGCCTTAATATGGTGTGGTCGCGGCGTGGGGCATTCGGCCACCGCGGTTGAGGCGCATTTCCCCCCACACACACCCCCACGAGTCGACGGGGCAAGCAGGGGAGGCACGAGACAGCATGAATAGCGGGGTCACAGGGGCTGTTGCGCATAGTCATGGGGGTTGGGATAATTGCGCTTGAGCGCGCAGGCCCCATTGTTAGGAAGGGTAAGGGAGTAATTAGGATGTACGCCGCCAACGTCGCTCACTGATTAGCATATCAACAGCGCCTGGGGACTGCCGTGCGCGGGCTTGGGGTGCACGAGCCCATTGTTCAGCGCAGCATCCCCTTTGGAGGTAGGGAGGATAAATAGAGGAGCGCAGAGGGGAAATCGCTCTCTTACTCCAGCGCCAGGCGACCAGACGCAGCTCGAGCCAGCGACCCGGACGTCCGTGCGACGCACCGAGGCACGCGGTTAACACAAGGATCAGCGGACCGCCGTGGACACTTAACAGTGAGTAAGAAGGTGAATTAGAATCATAGCCGATAAATAGGGAATAGGTACAGGTTTAGTGGAATAGGCCAGCCTCGTCGACTCACTGATTCAACATCAATTCGCAGGTGGCATATAATAAATCATTAATAGCGAAGCGTGGTCTCGCGTGATCTTGTCGTGCAGTGTGAGCGTGTGGGTGCGCTGTGTGCACAGTGGTTCGCCACGTGAGTGAGCGCTGCGCGGAGCTGAGCGCGCGGGTTGCGTGTGGGAACGCGTGTGGTACTGTGTGTGCGTAAGCTCGCGGCGTGCGTAATAGGCGTACCCCAGGTGCGCGATCATAACGCAAGCGGCCAGCAGACGGCGAGCGCTGCGCAGAGCGGCGCAAGAGTGGGTGTCGCGTGTGTTCACTCCGTGTGTGATACAGGTGCGCGATCATAACTTGCGTAGTTGGTGTGGAGTTGGAGTGCACGGAGCGGCGTGTGTGTGTGTGCATACGTTCGTTACATGTCGGATACGGATGCGCATTGGTAACGTGCCGCACAGGGCTATACTGCGAGCACGGCGTTTGATTGACGATGATGTGCGCACGTATGCTCGCAGCGTGGGAGCGCGGCGCGAGGCTGTAACAGTAGGGGCGTCGCATTCGAATGCCGGCGAAACCGTAGCGAGTAATAGGGAGGTGGGGTAACGTAAACGGAATAGGGGATGCAGGCGGGAGGGACCCCGGGGGCCAACGGCCCCCACAACGGCCCTCCTTGATGCTGCTTGTTACTGGCCATTAACAGCACTTGTTTACCGCACCTCGAACAGTCCGTCCGCGTTGAGAGGCTATACGGGGTGAACGTCGTCTTTTTTTGTTAAATCTCATCTCAGTCATTTCAGTAATCTCAGCCAGCCAACCCATGGCACCTGCTGGGTCTGTCCTGAGACCTCCTCATGTCAACGAGCCTTTGACACTTCACGTGGCCTCAAAGTGCACCTAGCCTGGCAGAGGCTTCATGGTGACGCCACTGTCACTAAATGGCTATAGGTTGGGGTTATTGGTATTGGGAGACAAAGGCTCAGTCAGGGCACCGGGGTAGAGACTTCTGGTCGTCAATAACCGGTGTTGGTGCCCTACAGGAGTTGGTGTCAACAGTAGAGTCCCCCTTGCCAAGTGCGACTCGGGTGGTGGACTTGCTTCTCATAAACGTGGGGAACAGAACGGTTGAACCAAATACGCGAGGCTTTTGATCACTGATCTCGAGGTTAACCTTGGGAAATCACTCCGTTGAGTTCACCTGTTGAGGTCTCAACGATTCTAAATATGCAGGGTTAAAATACGTATATATTATTACGCGTATATATGACGTAAGTGTGAGTCTTTGTAGTTGTTAAATTGCCCGGGTTCGTCATAAACACCTTGGATTTTCCTGTTTATTCTCTCCTGCAATACATACCAAGCGACCTCAGAACATCGACACCGGACTCGGTCATGTGGTCATTACGTTTATTTTTTGTGCATGATCTCGTTACATTTGAATGAGAATAGGCGGGAAACAGAGCGGAACCCAGAGGCGACGGTTGGGATCCATTAGAGGAGGACAGGGGATTGACTAGGGGGGGGGGGCAGTGAGGGAACATTCGAGAAAGGGTGCTCAAAAGATATTAAAGGGCTAGAGCACAAGGGGAGGGGACGTTAGAAGGAAGGCACGAGCTTCAAGACCAAGCATGAAGCCCGGACCCAGTATTTGTTACAGTGTGTTGATAAGAGTTTGTCGTTCTCGTCGTTTCACGTTCATGCCAATTGAGTAATTTGCAGGTGATTTTTTTTCATCGGAATGTTTGGCCGAAACCAAGTTGCAGGAGTTTTTTTTTTTGTTGAGCTGGGAAACTGGAGAACTCAGAAATTAAACCCCGTGCAGAACAGGGGGGGGGGACAAACTCCACGATTGAGTTGAGAATCGAACCCAGGCCTTTCTTGCTGTCGGGCACGAGTGTTACCACGGCAGACGCTGTAGCACACACATCCATTATGTGTTCAGATAACTTGATTGACCCCGTGCAACCAAATGCCACCTCAATTGAAATACAAGCTGCTGTGCGCGTCGCCCACTGATTGCCATTAAAACTTTTGGTGTCTATTATTTCCACACGAACACAATTCAAAGAGCACATTGCGTTCACGCGAAGCTAATTCGTGCCTTTTGTTAATGCATTATAATGCTATTTTGTTATCTAATGCAATTGCATTTTAAAGAATAAATAGTACTGTTTTTAGTGATGGAAGCACAACTTGGACGTATAATCAAACTCATGATGCGATGTTCACGTACGCAAATGACTCCTGTGTTTGTGTAGAGACATTTTTTCATTTAAATACAGTAAATTGAAGCACATTTATGCTTTACTAGTTGGCCTGTGGCCGCCTCACGTATTTGATTCTAAGCTTTTATTACCTTAAATCAACAGGTAGCGGTGGGCGGATACAGTAGGTATGGGGTGTGTGGGGGCAATCTGGGTTGGTGGGATTAGAATTCCCTCTGAGAGCAATATATGTATGACTTACGGTGTATGTACAGCCAATTTGTCAATCCACTGCTAGCCGGGAGATCTATATACTGAATGGGTTCACCATATTTCACCAGGCTGGTCAGTTGCGTGTTGTGGATTTGGAGATGGGAGCATAGGAGTGCAGCACAACCCTGTATTTTACAACAGCCGACAAATACGAGTTGTATGCATGGTGGTCAGCCACCCAAGCAACATCCAGCACAACATTCCACACGATTAGGTCATGCGCTTCCCTTAACTACGACATTGAGCAGGACATTGATTCTTAACAATATATTTCATTATTACCGAATAAGACAATATCATTAAAGTTTTGTAAGAATAACATATTTTAGATAGATTTGTATTGAGTATATATAGTTTGATTGGATATAAAGGTCTCCACTCAGCATTGGAGACCTGTATACAACCACACAGCCTAAAGAAATCCTTAAGTTATGAAACGTGACAAGTACCATGGTGGATAGAATTTCATGAAATTTACACTGAGTAGCCGAATTAAAGTTTGTACTCATTGCATGAGGAGTTGGCCACAGTAATACCTCTGTTAACGAATCCTCTGGGAACGAAGGTCCTTCATAACGAAGTCGGCCGTGGAGGGCCACTTCTCCCCATATTGTTTCAACGACAAAAAAACATCTTCAGAAATTATGCACATCTATTCAAGAGTATAATTGTGAACGCGACCGAGTGGGGTTTGTTTTGCTGTAAGTGAACAGCAGTCAATCAGTGAAAAGCTTCGCAAGTCTCCCTCACTGGGCACAATCTTCCCTTCTCCCGCCTGCCATTTGCTCGAGCACCTCGTGCTGGTAAAATGTTATCGTGTCTTTTTTAGTGATATAGTGATTTTACTACCTCCATTATGTATGTTGACATTCTTTCGCACCACCGTATGCAGCCAACGGTGCTAATCGGTGGTGGGGGAAGGACAAGAAGCTCAAAACAAAAAGCAGTTCTAAAGAATTTAGTTTTCAATCTAGATTTTAAAAGTGCTTAGCTCCAGTGTCTTTCTAATTTCGGAAGGAAGAGCGTTCCAGACGGCCATAGAAGTGCATCTTAAAGCGCACAATGCGGTCACCGACCATCTAGTGGCCTTATTGGGCAAGAAGTGCAGCTTAAATCCATCTATTTGGAAGCGAAAATACCCATCATAGGAGGGTAGAGGCAAGAGAGATGAAAAGTGAAGTGGCGCGTTCGTTAGGGTTAGTGTAGTCCAACTTAAAGACCATTTTAAACCAAGCAGACAAAGTGAAGGCTACTGTGCAGAAATGTTTTCCTAATGTACCCCCTTTGTCTGAAGTTCTGGAGTGCATCCGTATGCCTCCCATGTTATATCTACCTTTCTAAAAACGGAGTGATATCATGACTCCTAATATTAAATTCCATACAGTGTCATGTCAACAGCATCCACAATGCTGTACATCTTCTATATATATCAAAGTCAAATTTGTCTGTGGGTTTGTGGCGTGGTTTGTGTGGGTTTGTGTGTGGGTTTGCTTGTGTTTGCGCACTTGTGAAGGATTTGGCTCTCCAATGGTCAGGTTAACATTAAATAAAAATTGCCAGGTGCCACGCCGTGAGCAAGTGCTATTCCTTTTTCACATCCGTAAACTTTTAATTAGTTTAATTGGCGATTTAGTGCGATTTTTTTCTGCTATGTTTTTTTAATGACGCATGCACGACCGTACCAACTCACACACCATTTGTGGGGGGACGGCCATACCAAGTCGCACGCCTTCGGTGGGACTGAGGGGGACATTTTCTTTCGCGTTAGAAATGGTATTTAAGTACACTAAATGCTCAGGTAAATTATTCACTGTGTGATGTCCCCCCCCACCCGATGCATGCAGTTACTACTATACAGTCGGTAGATGCTACACTATTGGCCGTAGATATTACTGAAGAGCGGCCGGGGAGATTGTGGCTGGGGTGGGGGGGGGTCAGGGCTAGAATCCAGCCCCAGCCTGCCAAGGTGCCACCTCGGCCGGCTGGACAATGTAGGCGAGGCCGGAGGCTCTGCACGGGATTAGGCCTCACCACGCCACTCTCTCAGGTGAGTACTTTGTGCTATAGAGTCGATAAATACTGCTATAGAGTCAGCATGTACTACTGTAGTAATAGCAGGGACCACCACAGTCGGTATGCCCTGCTGTAATCATAATAGTACCATCACAGTCAGTATGGACTTCTGTTAGATTTTTAAGGGTAGGTTTGAAATATTTTTTGACCCGGGCAATGCCGGGTACTTCCCGCTAGTTAATTATATATACGAACAAAATCCATGTACATGGTTGGCTGCGCACTGTGCAAAAGAAGCCCAATTAATAAATGGCACCAAAGAAAAAGCCTACAAACGAAAAAAAACGATCAAAAAAAGAAATTAGTCCAATAGGTCAACACCCCAGACCACAATCCCAATTTCACAACTAAGCCAGGAAACCTTCACAGGAGGGGCGGTGGATTGCCAAAAATGTAACGACGAATTTATATCAATCAGTCCAAAAGTTATTTCCTTTTTTTCTCGCGTATGCCTTAATGAATACAATTACCTTCAGTTCAGATTTTAATTATATGGAGTTGATTTGCGGGATGTTAAGTGGGAGGTAAAGTCCAGACCTAGAGAAGACGGAGAACCCGGGAGGGGAGTAAACTGAAAATTGGAGGGGAACCATAGGCAGGGGCTAGCTCATGAAGACATTTGAAGTCTGCGAGTGCGATCTTCAAGGGGATTCTGGACTGGATAGGTAGCCCGCACAGGGATCATAAAATGGGTGTAAAATGATTATGCTTCCGAGTATGAGTGAGTACTCTTGCAGCTGCATTATGAACATACTGGGCACTTAGGATCAGAGACAAGGAAGACCACAAACATTAATTAATTATTTCTGCAGCTGTATAGGAGACAGTTGTGGATGCGGATGACAGTAGTTTGCTGATGCGAGGTAATTGATGTTTTTTTATCAACTAAGAGAACTTCAGTATTAGAGTTATTAAATGTAAGAAATTTTCCTGCGAGCCAGTCAGAAACTGCAGTAAAACCGAAGATCGGGTGGGAAGTGGATTTAAATCGAGATTGATTGAATCTACATATCAGTTGTGTTAACCGAGGTATACCTAAACTGTGCTTTGTGTTAAGCATCATTCAACCACGATCTGATACATTCACTTTGATTGTTGGACAGTAACGCACCTTTCTCAATATCTTGTTGAATTGCGTATTAATTGCGAGCCTCAGCTCTAGGGTGCGTAGGCAATAAATGAGTACGTTCGCAATCGGGCTGAGCAAGAACACCAACTGAGCGGCGCATCTCAAGTTGACGCCATCGCTGTTCGCATCCTTCACAAGCGCGGCAAAAGGATGTCTAAAAAAACTTACGTGAAAAACACAACGAGTGCCATGAAATGCGTGCTGAATGTGTGCAGAGCTTTTCTCCTGAACGCAGAGCTCGAATTCTTGCACTCAATAAAAATTCGAATGTTGGTGTACGCAACCACACAGAGAGGAAATACAACAAACGTTGCAACCATTGACGATGCGACAACATCCATTTTGCTCGTGTCACCGATAGCCAACTTTAATAATCCCATATTATCACAAACTATGCCCTGGATTTGCCTGTTTTTTTCGCTTAATTGCATTGAAATTTGAAGGCTGACTAGAATGCTGACCGCAACCGCTGCCATCAGCCAGGACAGTAATGCATGAAAATTGATCTCTTTGCAGTAGCCTTGGTGTTGTAGTGCAATGGGTAGCAGATGGCCAGGTAGCGATCAACAGACATTATAGCCAATGTAAAAATCTCATTCAATGCAGACATGTGAATTGTGAACATCTGTGCGACACATGACACGTACAGGATCTCTCTGTTGCCCGTCAGGAGAACTTGCAGCTGCTTGGGCAAGCCACCTGTGCTGATAATGATGTCGTCAATTGCGAGATTGCACAAAAAAATGTGCATGGGCTTGTGTAAGTCTGTGGACACTGTCACCGTCACGAGCACCAGCAGATTGGTTGCAGTTATAGTTAGGTACATCGCAAGGCACAGGCTGAATATTAGCACATGTATAGAGTACGGGGCTTCAAATGTGCGAGGTGGAGCACGGAGCTTCTGTTCTCCATAATTGCGTTCCTTGGGCTCCTGCGTTGATAGCCTGAGACCTTATCAATCAGTCCCTGTTGAAGTCACAAAACATTGTTAAATAAAACATCATGGACCTCCTTTTCTATTACCAAAATATGAGAATAGGTTTTTCCCCTTTTTATTTGGCAACAAAACAGCTTTTAAGTTGTTAAAACACCAAACTGAAACCTTTTATATTTTGGTACTGGCAAAGGAGGTTCCATGATGTAGATGCTCACCCGAGCTCTCATTACTCTGATGGTGCGTTGTCTTTGTGCTGTGTTCGCCTTTTGGCGTCCTTTGGTCTAACGCCGTTTAAGACGAGGCTCAAAAGAAAGATGGCGCTGGTGTGGACCAATCAGAGTATGTTTTTTTTGCATTTTTACCACAAGTATTGTGGTTAATGTAGACATTATTCCTTGTAATAGGTTTCAGTTTGGTGTTTTAACAACTTAACACCTGTTTTGTTGCCAGATGAAAGGGGAAAACCTATAATCAAATAAAAACAGGTTGTGAAAATGCGTACAAATGCTCACTAATAATATGAACAATAACTGACGAACAATAGCTCAAAAATAGAAGAGAACTCACCTTGTTTTCGTTGCTTGAACTGAGAATCTGCTGATTTATATGCGTTTTGGGGACCACGTGACCGTGAGCCTTCAGGCGCGATGGGAGGTTCCGGGCTGGATGGTGCGTGCTGCAGCGCCCTGCGGATTTACCCATTGCCCTGAGGAGTCTTTTGAGTCAAGATTAGCTCGTAATTTGATATGTACACTTCAGGTTGGGAGGTGACTGCATTAGATGCAATTGGGTCATGTTTCAAGTTATTTCTTTAAATCACTACATACATTTTTAAATGCTTCAACCTACATTTTTGAAAAAATATATTTTTTAAAGTCATCGTGTTGTATATGGCACAAATCTAAAAATGGTGTATATGTCTCCGAAATAGTTTATTTTCTTAGTGTGTTAATGCATGTGTAACTTAGAATGTATTATCTATGGTGGCTTTACATATAGAGTGCATTCATAGGGAGTGTTTTACTGTGGGCACCAAGTATGCAAGCCTCCATTACAGAATAAAACGAGATGTCACTTAGAATTCCATCATCCATTACTATTGCCCCTGTGTATCAATTTAAAATCTTGTATTCTAATTAGTCCATATACCTTCCTAGTGGGGATGTTATTGCTCAACGGGCTCATTAATGAACCCATTAACTGCTGTAATGTCAATTATGACTTTCCAGGCTGTACCTGTGGGAATCTGCGTATCTGTGACCTATCTTCACGAGCCGGGCTCTCAACTGTCTGCTCTCTCATGAAAGTATAGCTAGTCGTGATGTTGGGTCACTTCATGAAGACTTGGAGTGTTTCATTACAGCCTAAATCATTGGTTTTTGGGCTATAAATAACCTCAACACCTGAAGACGTTTTAACAGTGTACTTAACTACGTATCTATTATGTTGTCAGCTTGGTCTTTTCAATGCACTAAAATAACACGGGCAACCAGCTGTCAAAACATTGCAAAACTCGATACACAAAGGGGTTTCACTTGAACACCTGGGCACATCGATATGTGAGGCCAGAACAGTTGCTTGGGAAATCACTCCTTTCCGTTTATCTGTTGAGGTCGCAACAATTCCAAATATACAGAGTTAACAATACCTAAATGTAGATATATTCAGTTAAATCATGACATCAATTTGAATTTTCAGAGATGTTTAATTGCGCTGGTAAGTAATGACATTTCGGATTTTCCTGTTTATTCCGTCCCCCCTCTCTCCAAAATGTACGAACCTTCCCAGAATATCGACAAGGAACTCAGTGATGTGGTCATTATGTTTATTTTTGTTCACGATGGTGTTCACATTTATTTACAAATCATGGTGCACATTGACAAGTTGAAGAGTGTGTTGGCAGTTCCTTTCCGAGCTATCAATAATACAACACGCAGGGCGTGGACAGGTTTTGATTACAGCAGGGCAATTGAGATGAATTGACACAGCATGCACGTGTGTCTACCCAGCCCGCCCTGTCCCTCTCCTCCCGTGAATCGTAACGAGGGAAACAGGTCGGCTCAATTTACCAACAAAAATAAAGTTCGGAGACGATGAGATGATACTCTGCGTCGTGTTCCGTCCTCCCGAGAAGTTGGCAACTCCACAAAAGATGAGCACCACAACTTTGTGAAATGGCAACTACGCTTTGGGGGCCGTCTATAAATGACGTCACGCGATTTTGGACGATTCTTGACCACCCCCCCTCCTCCCACGGGGTCACAAAAAGTAAGACCCCCCCTAAAATTTTACGTCACAAAGCTATGCCCCCCCAAATGAAACATGCTTCAAATCGCTTAAAAAATTGTCATTGTAGAGCGTATTTAATGCGGCGCCGCACTCTGATGTTGTAGGAAAAAACATGTATAAAAAAGTGTATTTAATAAAGTAGAACGTGTTGTCTATCTTTATTTAAAGTTGGCATTTTGATGTGACGTCACATTTCTCAAACAACCCCCCCTCGTCACACAGTCACAAATTTCTGACCCCCCCACCAAGTGCGTGACATCAACTATGGACGGCCCTTATTTAAAATGTTCTTCCGAGGGGTATTTGCGTATCCGCAATCATGACCAGACACAACCTATCCACTTCCACGTCACACAAAACCTCAGTTCTGTCCCTCAGCACGGAGCCCACCCAAATGTCAATGATGATAACAACCGCTTATCATATCTTTGAACAGTTGACGTACATTATTTAACAAACATTTAACAAGAAACATTTGAATAGTTAACATCAAACGTCTGATAATACTGCATAAATGAAACAATACATACTTATATAATTAACAATAAAGCACTTAAAAAAAAAATAACATGAATATGTAAATTATGGAAATAACATTTTATTGACAATAAACATATTAACAATTATTATATCTTATATCCCAATCGGGAATGTAACCTCTGCCAAAAACACATTTTGCGCACCCCATGAGCTCAATGTTACATTTAAGTTCTAAGTCGGCCATCTTGTGCATTCCCAATGAACAACAAAACATCAAATGTGATCAATTATCACGAAAAAATGTCATCACTAAAACACTCCAATCATTTTTCAACTCCGTGACGTCTATAGAATCGAGTTGGATTGGTAAAAATAAACAAGTTATATCCCGCGCAAAAAAGCGTCAAACAATAACACTAACTCTCAGTAAGTGTAGAGCTCACAACTTGCAATCATGACCAGTTACACCACGATCATCCCCCACGTCACACACCACCTCAGCTCAGTCCCTCTGTTAATGGATTGAGCACCAGTGTTAATCTTAATCTAGCCCCAATTGAGCATTTTATACATTTAAATGAATTATAATATCGAAGTTTTGTGAATATCTTTATCACCACCAATAACTCAATAAACAGTCAAGTAACATAACCGAGTTCCTGTCAGTCGATTAACATTAAAGTTATATTAACTTAAGTTATATTTGATATTTTATCAGAGCTCATGTAATGCCACCAGCATGCAGTTCACCCAAAGCTGAACTGGTTGTGTGCCCCGTACTCAGAATCGTCTACACACTGCTGGACGTGGCCAGCTGTGCACCTAAGGCTTAGGGTCCTGTGTCTGATCATCAATGCCTACACTTATGAGAAAAAACCCACACCTCGCTCTCCGTAGCAATTACAGCAACACATAGTAGAGTGCACATTTATACGTGCAATTCATTACAGGTGTAAGGGATCTGCGCGCCATCCTCACGCACACGCACAACGCAAACACGACATCTCCGCTCTCACGACAACACACACCAATCACACGCCCGGGAATGTGCGAGACGGGGTTCAGGGGTCAAAGGGCAGTGACGTCACCCGGACCAGGCGTGCTAGACGCGGATGTGTATTGGGAGCGGACATTGCGTGATTAAAAAGGCCTGTAGGACGTGTGTTCGGGGTTGCTGCTGTGCGTTGGTGAAATAAAGTGATTAACCATTTTATGACTCCTCTTCACAGGGAAGCTCTCACCGGCTACATGTGCATTACATTGCAATGAGAGAGGCTAAACAAATACATAGAGAAATAAACAATACATTGATATTTTTAACGAGTTTTAGAAGGTGCTCGACGTGCCTCTTCAATTGTCTCTTGTCCAAACTTGACTGGCCAGGATTGAGGATTGGAATGAGATACGGACAGACGGTGCCAGGGTCTCAAGGGGCTGTCGTCTCTGCCCGTGCTGTGTCTGGTCATCTTCGCCATCCCCACACTCGCTAAATGTCTGGGTGCATCCTCTGGGTCCAACACTTTTTTTTATCGTTAACCTCGTTTACACCGCGATGGACTCACCTCTCAATGCACCATTTTAGGAGAATCCTGACAAGCTGTCGTATTCGGGGAAGGTGTTGTCACGTACATGCCAACTTATCCATTTGCATGTCATGTTTTTGCTTTTTTTACATTCGGATGTTTGGCCAATAGCAGTAGCACTCTACCTTTTTTATGGAACGGCAAACAAAAAGATTCATCAGAGTCGGTCATTGTGTGCTGGCATTACGGGTCAAAGTCTATCATCGTGCCGGGGGAGGGGACAGATTTGGAGGGGGTGGGGGAGGGAATGGATGGGGCGGGGATTGTTGGGGGGCGGGGATGGGGAAGCAATGGGGTGGAGAGCGGTGTGCAGAATGGGGCGGGGGACACGCGGTGGGGGAATGGGGGTGGAAATGAGGGGTGGGGGTGCAATGGATGGGGAATAAATGGGGGTGGGGGAAGGAAAGAGGGAGGGGATTGGGGGAGGGGCATGGAGACAAAGATCCCCCGTGTAGTCTTAACAGACCGCTGGGGCAAGTGCTTAGCGAGGAGCACAGAATGAAGGCCGGCACGGCCAGCACCACGCCCGACCGTCTTTGTCTCCCCACTGGGGAGATGTTTACACATTGCACCGGGTACTAGGGATGAACGATTTTGGGAAAATATCTCATTGAGATTTTTACGACAGATTTTGCGATTGCGATTTTATTTGCGATTAGTTTTGTTAAAGTCAAGCTTCAGTTCAATATTCGCTGTGTAATAGATTTCAAGCATGTAATGGAGCATTACCACATGATACCATCATGATACCATCAAAATATGAACTGCTCTATATATTCTAATTCAATTAAAATATATTAATTACGACCAGTATGTATTTATAAAAAATAAAATTGAAATAGAACAATCAAAGATAGGACAATTGTTAAGTTAAATAAATAAAGTTATAACAATAAAAAATATATAGTAATTCTATTATCTCTATTATGTATGTTGACATTCTTTCGCACCACTGTACGTAGCCAACGGTGATAATCGATGATGGGGGAAGGAAAATAAACTAAACACAAAAAGCAGTTCAAAAGAATTTAATTTTCAATCAAGATTTTTTAAGTGCTTAGCTCCTGGTCTTCACCTGAGGACGGCTACTTGTGTTGTGGCCGAAACGTCGTGAGAATTATTTTATTATGCTTTATTTTTTATTATTTTATTACTTCCCTTCTACGTGACTTTACCGAAAGAACCAAGAAGATGCTTAGCTCCAGTGTCTTCCTAATTTCGGAAGGAAGAGTGTTCCAGACGGCCATAGAAGTGCATCTGAAAGCACACAATGCGGTGATCGACCATCTAGTGGCCTTACTGGGAAAGAAGTGCAGCTTAAATCCATCTGTTTCCATCGCTCACGTCACA